GGTTTAGATTAGCAAAACAACAACTCTGCACGTGTACCACGCTTTTCTGTACATTTCTTTGCCGTCACTGCACGACTACGAAGTGAATTGCCAAATTTCGGGTTTCATCGACAACGTGAACATACGACGACAAATTTCGCTTTCTCTCCCTAAACTTGAATTTCTTAAGAATTCAACTCCAGGAAAGTTTGTCTGCATTGGACAAAGTGAGCGAGTTGCGATAGTCGCACTGAAGTTTCAAAGAACGCGAATTCACTTTTTGAGCGTTTTCGCCGCCGTCGCCTTTGTGGTATCGTAAACTCCCTATTGATGTCTGTGGTGCAGAATATGTTACCCTGATGGACTAGGGGGGTCTGGGTGCAAGAGCAGGAATTATTGTAGCTGTAGAAACATAAAACGAGTGTTGATTGTACCCCTGTTGTGTACAAGGATGTGATCCAGTCTGAGTGTTTTCTCAAAGTTGCTCTATCAAAAAGTTTATGGATGTTGCACTCATCAACGCCAATGGCAAAGGCTTTAAATAATACTTTCAAAGTCATCAACTTTGTTACCAAAGCTTTTATTTCACTTTTACTTAGGGATGAAGCTAAAGAACTTTTAGAAAACAAAGAGAATGGTTCTTTCTTGATCAGGGAAAGCGTGCTCAGAGCTGGCGAATATGCCCTTGCCCTAAAGTAAGTTCATTGTTAGTTTTAATGTTATACATATATACAATAAATCTTCTATTAAGCTCCCCCTCTCAACTGAGCCCCCTCTCCCTAATAAGCCCCCCCGCCCCCTTTCAGGGAAAGAAAGCTAATAAGCCAACTTCTCTTTTATTTTTTTGTTCATGGTTGGTTATGTAATTTTAAAGGACTGTTCATACCTGTTTGGCGCGAAATTCCGCACCGATCGAAAATTCTACGGTGACGTCACGATAATGGACCAGTAGGACAGTGAGTGATACTTCACGTCGCTCCCGACGCAGCTTATGCCTGCGTGAATGTATAATATGATTCAAATCCATTCAGGCGAAACAAGTCGACCTTGGGACTTCGTCGCTCGTTCGGTCGCTGCGCGACCTGATGCATTTAAGCTCGCTTCGATCACTTTTAAGAACGAAATTATGAGAGGTCGACTTGTTACAAGTCCAGTACTTAACTTGGACGTTCATTGTCGTGTTAACGGAAGCATGATCATATAAGTTTTCTTAAACCCTGTGTAGACTGGTCTCGCCGGAGATTGAATTCGGGCCTTTCCCTCAGAAAACCTACGGGCAACTTTGTCCTATCCCTCGGTTAGTTAAGTCAGACGTACGCTGCTTATCTTGCACTTTAACCAGTCCCTCCCCCGTTAGTTTCGTCGATATGGGCAAGTTGTTAGGATGTGCGTTGTTAACAACGAGCCCTGACATTAGTTTCACAAGAAATTGGTTGATGGACCTAAACTATGCGTCTTACTGTGATAACATTATCAGTTGCAAGCCATACTGCTGGGAAATAGGTGTTTAACCCTTAAAGCATTAACAGTGACCAAAAAATAAGTTCTCCTTACAGTAATACTGCCCAATCAAACAAAGGCCACGAGAAAAAGGAAATAATGAAAGGGTAAAGAAGGTCGTGATAGCTGAACAAATTCTCCTTACCTGTACCATAGGAAAGGTATGGAGATTTCTTTAGAGAATATGCATGTTGATATAAAAATGTTTCCCTGTTTTTTCGTGTCTAGGCACAGAGACTGTGTAAAACACATTGCTATTAATCGAGGACCCAACGGTGGCTTTGGATTTGCGGCAAATTATACCACTCACGTGACATTAGAAGACCTTGTGCGTCACTACAACACAACATCTTTACAAATTCACAATAGTGAACTCGATACTACCCTGATGTACCCAGTTGGGGACCTTAACTAGTCTCTATTAAGGATAGGTACTTAAATAGTTTATTTCAAAATTAAGACCCAGAATTTTAAGATGTGATAAATTTTGACCAGATCAAAGCTAGAAAATAAGCCCTTTCCATAAGACGAAATATTAATTTTTATTAGGGTAAAACTGTTTAAGTTGTAGGAAAAAAAAGACTACCCAGGTATGCATTAGGCGTTATTGGCCAAGGAAGTCTGTTCTTCATATCTATGTGCTTCCACCTTTTAAGAAGCTTTGAAGATCTTACGCTAAGAGTATTCCTCTGTTTCTAGTTTGCTGCAATGTGCTTAAGTTCTTAAATATATTCCTGCAACAGTTGGTTCGGCCTAACGGAAGGCTTCTATATTTTGGCCGTGGGGGGAGGGGGGAGGGGTAATTAGAACTATTTTTGAAAGCTTTCCAAAGTTAGGTGCACGTATCTGACGAAATTGGGTGAAAAATTAGACTGCATTCTTGTAAAAAATGCGTTTCAGTTGTTTGATTGTTGTCCGTTGTCAGTTGAAAACTCTTTGCTTTTTATACAGGAATGATCCGGTCCAGCAGCTGGAAGGTCAGTTAGTTCCGAAATAGAAAAAAATTAACCCGCGACTGGGTTTACTTTTTCAGTTTATAGACTGTTTTGACTTTAACCTCGGGTTAACTCAACGAAGTTTTAGAGAGAGGCTTAAGTATTTTCTAATTTCAAATTGCACCGTTTGTAGACGAAAAATTGTGTTTTTAATTTCGTAGTTGACCGTTTCCCGACCATCCTGGACCTGTTATGTTGTAGGTTTCTGAATCTGTATAAAGCAAAGTGGTACATGAAAGTCTGTTGTCGCAGGATAGCCGGGCCAGAGAGAGTATCCTTCGACAATTTTGATCCTTATTAGTAAATTATTGTAAGTTTTGTGCGTAGTTGTATTTTTTCTGGTTGTAAGTTACTGAATATAGAAGATACAATACCGTAAAATTCCGGAAAAAAGCCCCTCCATGTATAAGCCCCTCCAAATATAAGCCCCCCAAAATCGTAGCGCAAAAACCCTCCGTTAAATCGCCCCTCCGAATATAAGCCTCCCGGGGGGTTTGTACTTGGAATTTGCCCTCGAATACAAAGTAAAACAAAGCAAAAATGGTAAATTTCCTTTCCACTACAAGTTAGCCCAACCGATTTTATAACGCAAATTTCCCTCCGTCCATAAGCCCCTCCCAATATAGGCCCCTCCAAAAATAAGCCCCTGAAAAAGGGCCTTTGAAAAATATAAGCCCCGGGGCTTTTTTTCGGAATTTTACGGTATTTGTTTGGTTTTTACTTAAAAGTCGTCCGTTAAGCTTGATTGTCGAACGTCCCGATGCTTATCGGGCCTTGAACTTGCTGTTGCTGCGGTACATTCAAGTTCGAGGTTTTAATAGTTCTGCAGATAACAGGATAAAATTGGACAATTACCACAACAAAATGGACTTGTTTGTTGGCTAGGGCCAGCGAATTTGTTCTTTAGATTTTTATTTGAATAATTTAATTTCGGGCCCGAAAACAAAACTGGGACTTTCGAGAAACGGGCCCCAGTTAAGAATGGGGAGCGTTACGTGTTTGAACTTTGAACACACGAATTTCGAAGATTGCACGTGAGTATTTAACTTAACGGAGAATGACTACGTAATGACTAATGTAGCTATAAATTTTATTAAATTTTTTCTAGAAAGGTTCCTGATATTTTATACATCGCTGTTGTTGTTTGCAACTCTGTCTTTCTTCTGATTGGTCCTACTTTTGAGTGGCGTAATGCTTTAATAACGTTTACGCATACGCGGAAAACTTGAGCGCTTGCTCTTTGATTTACTTGCTCTTAGTGGCTGGGTTAACAGCAAGAGCTTTTTAGCATTTGCAGCCTAAGAGGCCTGTTAAATTAGTATGAAGTTTCGTTCGTTAGGGGTAATCTATTGTGCAAAAGTTGTGTGAATGGATGTTTATAAACTTTCCCGTCTTGGACGTTGCTTTCCTTTTAACTTCGTGATTATTAATTCTATATTATCTTTACCAATTGGCTTGATAACTTATTGTTACTGAAAGCAGAGATTTCAAGTCTCTCTAGACGATCTTTATCACGATAAATGATTCTGCAGTATTTTGTGGATGTTAGGATTTCGAATTCTTTAATGAGATTAAAGTTTATGGTTTAAAGAGATCTGTTTATAGTGTTTTGCTTCAGTCTGTAGCCGTATATTGGGTAGAAAATGTGCAAAAGCGAACATTGTGGTGGGATTTTTTTTTGCGTCGCCTTAATTCGGCTGACCTGTTATTGTCTCTCCATACTCGTCCCTAGCCTCCTCTTATCATTTGTACGCGGTCGTGAGGTCATTTAAGGTTTTTAAGGTTTTCTACGAAGGGAATGACGGTCGACCAGAAGGAAGGAAAGAAAAAGGGCTGGAGAGTCTTCTCCTCTTGCCATCACTCCTTGCGGGTCTTCCTATCCCGTCCTGACTCCTGTTCGTTCTGCGCTCCTTACCCTCTCTCCCCAAACACCTTCCTTTTCCCCCTTACTCCCCGCCCCTACCCCTGCAGTGACGCGTGCTACCCAAGCCAGCGCTCCTTATGAAAAACGACGCGAAAACCTCACGGTACGGTATTTTTTAGACACTAGGCGTTTCCGTATTAGTAACTTGTATTTTGTTTCACCAGTTATTTAACCTATTTCGAATCTTGTAACAAAATATATATTTAATTAAGTAGTATTTGCTTTGTACGTTATAAATATAAGCTTAAATAAAATTTTTTTGTTGTATTCTAATAGATAAATGTAAACTATAAAAGTAATCTATATATTAAAACTTATCCAACAGAATATAGTCATCCAAAAAGTAACGGTATAAATTACTGATATTTACATTTAATATTTACAAATAAAATTAAAAAAACATCTCAAAGTTGCAAACACTAATAAGCTTGTCAGAACCAACATGAGGAATCTGTTTGAACAGGCTAAAAAAATTAATAGTCGTACGGTGTTACAATGTAAACCAAACGAATAAGTAAAAAATCTCTCCTGATGTAAAATTTCAAAGAAATAGAATACGTATTTTTTTGTAAACTTTCCCGGCGATGGTAAGTTTTGAACACGCATTAATGGAAAAATATTGGAAAACCTTTTGTCTTCTCCACACGTCTTCACATTAAATTAAGATAGTAAAAAAGCTCCATTCATATTGTGAATAAATTAATAAAAGTGCTTCTTTTCTCTATCCCGTTGCCTAGTAAAGCATTCCAATCTCCGGCAGTGCAGAAGTCCTTTCCAGTTTCCAGATACATCTTTCAATGTATTTGCTGTTACGGAAGCCAATCGAGCGCTTACAGGCGTCCAGACGTGTGGTGCGTTTTGATTGGTTTGCTAGTGTCACATGGTGCAGATGCACCAATCACTGCACACCACGCAGAAGGCCGGTGAAACCGTATTCATTCACATGGTTGCTTGTCACAGCTACGAATTTCATTTCTTAGTTTTGCTGGACCTGAAATTGGTTGGGTTTTTTCCTTTATAAATTATGGCGTTGGGCCGCTTAGTTTTCTTAGCCTTAGTCTCTTGCATTTTAGCAGAAGACCCAAAGATCTACTTTGTAGAGAAATTTGAAGGTGAACTATTGTTGATTTTTTCGTACCTTGATCTTCTCGCAGCATGGACTGATTTTTCTCTGTCTTTCACAGACGAAAGTTATACAGATAGATGGGTCGAATCAACTTTTAAAGGAAGTGATGCTGGGAAATTCAAGTGGACTGCTGGAAAATTCTACAACGACGCCGATCTAGACAAAGGTAAAAATATATATTTCTATCTAAACTGTTACTTTCTGGAATTTATAAGCTTACTCCGAGATCTACTTGCTCAGCTGTGAACTGTTCGATTAATTATTTTTGTAAATGCCAGCAGAAACAGCAATTTTCTCACCATGCAGACAGTATAACAAGAATATTTTGATTGTGAACAGGTATTCAAACAAGCGAGGACGCTAAATTTTACGGTATTTCTGCCAAGTTCGAGGAGGGCTTTTCAAATGAAGGGAAAACTCTCGTCATTCAGTTTCAAGTTAAACACGAACAAAACATAGATTGTGGTGGAGGCTACGTCAAGGTGTGTTTTCTGATAGAAACTGTTGTTAATTCCTCTTTCAAATATTGTTTTCTTGTTACGTTGTACATATTGTTTAACAAAATTAATGATAGTGTTATTTTATTTTCAAGTTAACAGAATTTAAACTATTGAGATATAAACATGCGGGTTAGTTAGGGCCTTCTCAAGAACTTGTTTATTGACTTGCTGATTTTGGCTTTTTATCTTACTTTTTCAGATTTATGACAGCAAAGTCGATCAGAAACAAATTCATGGAGATACACCCTACCATATCATGTTTGGTAAGTTGGCTTTATGTTGTTATTGGATCTTATATTGTCTTTAGTGCTTATTGTTTCGTTGAAAGTAGCCATTCACATGCTAATTAATGTTGCTTGTTGTTGATTCTCTTGTTAGGACCTGATATCTGCGGTCCAGGTACCAAAAAAGTCCATGTGATCTTCACCTATAAAGGAAAGAACTTACTTACCAAGAAAGACATCAGGTGCAAGGTGAAGATTTAGAAAAAATGTAAAAGGGGAACATTTTAGGAGAGAGAGGAAGTCATGAGATGTTTAAACTCCTCTGACTTTTTAATAAGCCCTTTTAGAGAATTGAAGTTTTCACAGGCTCTTACTGGAGACAAAAGCAAGGGAGATTTCATAATACCAAGTATCAAGTTCTTAATAATTGCTCATGACCACTCTGATTAATAAAGCAGTGATAAAACAAGGAGAATTTTAATACTGATCATTCTTAGGACTTTAGGAGTTAACAGGTGTTCAGAAGTACAGTGGACCCTGGATCTGACAAACCTATTCTTTATAAAAAAAAAAACCCTGTTAGGATTTTGCAGCTTTACCTGAATTTCGTGGCACCATGCTTGCGCAAAATATCGGAAGCCCTGCTAAAGGTAAAGGGAAAAAGGACTTCCTGAGTGCTGCAGGTTAACCCAACATTAGTTCCTTTGATATTAAGGTCAAGAAAATAAAAAGCTTGACTGTGATATTAAGGATGAAATTAAGATGCGTTTTTTACTAACACAATCCTTTATTTCAGGATGATGAATTCACCCATCTCTACACACTGATTGTCAAACCCGATAACACCTATGAAGTGCGTATCGATGGCTCCAAAGTGGAGAGTGGTGATCTTGAAGCTGACTGGGACTTCCTGCCACCCAAGAAGATCAAGGACCCCGAGGCCAAGAAACCTGAAGATTGGGACGACAAAAAGAAAATTGATGATCCTGAAGACAAGAAGCCTGAGGTGTGATTTTAATGTGACCATATAGTACAACTACAGTAGTCTTTTTGGTGGGAAGCTAGGGAATGGGTGTAAGGCAAATAGGTTAAATTTTGTTTCATCCCAGGAAGTTCTCAAGGTGGCTTCAGTTCCAAGTTGCCCAGAGATAAGGTTTTAGTTTAGTACGATCCTTTCATATGACTTAGAGGTGTGAATGAAATTGGTCATTGCCCTTTAAAGTATGCCTAATGAGCGACAAAATTCAGTAAGTGTAGTCAATCATGATGACCTGGCAGCACAAATATATAAGGCTACTATTTTGTAGCTAAAGATTTCTAAAGTATTGCAAGCCTCACAACTTCGATATCCCTGACTAAAATGGTCACCTGGTCAGACCAACCTCCTTTGTAAAATCTTAAAGAAAAATTATCTGCAGTTCTGAAACTGCAACAAGTTATCCTTTTAGACTCGTAATTTCTGTTGCTTGGAAATGTGTAGGACTGGGATAAACCTCAAAACATCCCTGACCCTGACGCGAAGAAACCAGATGACTGGGATGATGAAATTGATGGTGAATGGGAACCACCAATGATCGACAACCCAGACTACAAGGTTGGTAGAAACTGTCTTCCACAAAGTGTCACAAAATAATCAGTATTCCGTATATTTTGTTTACCATCTTAAGAGTATGTATTGTGGGTAACATACATGATAACTGTAGAAACTTTTGTCAGCAAAGTGTCACTGAAAATAATTAGTATTCCTTTCATTTTGTTTACCATCTAAAGAGTTTCTAGTGGGTAATATACACGATAACTGAAATAAAGGAATATACTGCAATGTGGATACGTGTGCTGTCTTGGTTCAAATTCCGTTTAATTTTCACAACAGAAGTAAAATTTATGTTTTCTTTGCCATGTTTGTCTGCCCTCTTACAGGTAACTGCCAACTTAGATTGTTTACATGTGATTTTAAAAGAACTGTTACTTTAACAACATTAAGTTCTTTAAAGAATTTAGGGAAAAGGGAGGCTTGTACTCTTCTGTGCCATGAATACCAATGGCTCCTGTAAGAAAAAGCCCCAGTGGTTTGTGTCACATCAGAGTGTCTTTTTTAGTTGGAATAAGTGTCACCAAAGAACAAGAAAATCATTTACAACACTTTAGACTGTTATTGATCAAGTGCCATCTTCTCTTACATAACATTTCTTTGTTATTAATTTTAGGGAGAATGGAAACCTAAGCAAATTGACAATCCCAACTACAAAGGAGAATGGATTCATCCAGAAATAGATAACCCTGAGTATGAAGCAGATGATGCACTCTATAAATATGATGATATTGGTGCCATTGGTTTTGATCTTTGGCAGGTAAGAACAAGAAAACCACATTACACCTTCCCTTTTCTCATAGAAAATTCTGTTTTGTACAGTTTCAAGTCATACAGCTTGGGAACTACATAAGTGTTAAACCTAATGCCAGTGAGCCAAATCGTTTCTTCTTGCTCAATAGCATTAGGTTCAACACGTGTGAAGTTTGACATTTGACCCTGGCTTAAGTGATTTTGTGATCCTATGTACAATTGTCCTTTTGTTTTGAAAAGTAAACATGAGGCAGTTTGAAAGTGAATCTTAAACTTAGGTTAGTACAAGTCACTAATGAGGCTGTTTCTATGTGCTTCTTCAATATTGTCATATGGCTACAAGGCTTTGAAAGTAAAGTGTGTGTGTGTGACGGGTGGCGGTAGCGGGGGGGGTGATCTTCCCATAAATGCAAGATGAACAGAAATCTAATGAGCCTCCCATGCAGACATTCTTAGAGCCTTGTCATGCATTCTTTATTCGCAAGGATGGAACATCTGATGAAGCCTTCAGAACACTGCAAGGGAGGCTAAAATCCAACTCAAATTTGAGAAAAGGATCTTTCTGTATGTACCATCACAAACCAATGACAGTTAGNTACAGTTTCAAGTCATACAGCTTGGGAACTACATAAGTGTTAAACCTAATGCCAGTGAGCCAAATCGTTTCTTCTTGCTCAATAGCATTAGGTTCAACACGTGTGAAGTTTGACATTTGACCCTGGCTTAAGTGATTTTGTGATCCTATGTACAATTGTCCTTTTGTTTTGAAAAGTAAACATGAGGCAGTTTGAAAGTGAATCTTAAACTTAGGTTAGTACAAGTCACTAATGAGGCTGTTTCTATGTGCTTCTTCAATATTGTCATATGGCTACAAGGCTTTGAAAGTAAAGTGTGTGTGTGTGACGGGTGGCGGTAGCGGGGGGGGTGATCTTCCCATAAATGCAAGATGAACAGAAATCTAATGAGCCTCCCATGCAGACATTCTTAGAGCCTTGTCATGCATTCTTTATTCGCAAGGATGGAACATCTGATGAAGCCTTCAGAACACTGCAAGGGAGGCTAAAATCCAACTCAAATTTGAGAAAAGGATCTTTCTGTATGTACCATCACAAACCAATGACAGTTAGCCCTCTTGGGAGCAGTACTGTGTTGATTCTCTTGTTTTGCATAATTTGTTGAAGTACATACAGACAGAACAATGTATGTACATCTCCCTCTCTCACGACAAAATTGTGTGTAATAAAAGTCTTAACTTGGCTTACATTGAGCAGTATCTGGCCTCTGTTTGATATAACTCCAATTATTCCATCGTTTACTTACACTTGCTTTGTTTTTTGTTTTTAACAGGTTAAATCAGGAACTATTTTTGACAACATTCTAGTAACAGATTCAGTTGAGTATGCTGAGAGTTTTGCTAAGGAAACTTTTGACAAAACCAAAGAAGGTGAAAAGAAAATGAAGGATGAGCAAGATGAGAAAGAACGCAAAGAACGGGAGGAAGAAGAAAAGAAACAGAAGGAGGAAGAATCGAAAAAGAAAGCTGAGGAGGAGGATGAGGAAGAGGAGGAAGAAGAAGAGGTGAGAATAACAAAATTAGCGTTATTAAAACTTTTAGCAAGATCTCGGTGAATGACATGACCACTGTCAGGAAAGGTTTGCATTTAACTCTTACACACCCAGAAGAGGTTTAAGTGAAACATGTCAAAATGGTCAAATCTCATTTTGCAAAATGCTGGGAAACTAATAGCACCATGTGAAAATACTGCTGAAGAGAAGTAATTTGAATGGTCGCATCATAGGATTTCATCCAGAGACTGGAAACTTAGAACCAGATGGTTAAGATGAATTCCAAGTAGGAATACATGGAGTTCCAGACAATGTTTTGGATAAAATAGTTTCCACCAAGATAAACATGTTTTCTTAGTGATAACCAGTAATTGTGTTGAACACCTTCAACATTGCATATCAATTTAAAGAGGGGGATAGGTAGCCTGAATTTCAGACATATCTTCTAGTCATCTGAAATTCCGACTAGGGGATAGAATGTGCCTGTAAAATTAATTATGTGCGTAAACATTAGAATTTGGGCCAGGTTGTTAGACAGTGTGATGTTTAGGCCTCATTATGGTTATAGTAAACCTACTACCTAACAAGTCTAAAGTAATAGTTAGCCTGTACTGAGGTAATACATTATATCATTTTTACAAGGAGGAAGAGGGCAAGGATACCGAAGAGAAAACAGAGGAGGAAGCTAAAGAAGAAGAAAAGCCATCTGAAGAAACTGCCACCGAAGAAGAGGAAGAAGATAAAACAACAGAAGAAGCAACACCCAAAGATGAACTTTAATCGAATTGATGCAGCTAGGCATTTTTAATGAAAACAAAAGACTTTCTCTATAGAACACTTCACATCATTCAGCATTTGACCTTGTTAAGGTGATATAAGGATATTATTATTGCTCAAATGGCTGGAATAATGTGAAAGATGTAGGCCTTTCTCATAAGATACATTTTAATCTGGCTTTTAGAATAAACACTTTTGTGTTTATTACATTGCTATTTAATTATCGTAACTCTCTCTAATGCTCTATTTTATCTTAGAGATAAGGTCCTTCCATCCACATTTTGTTTCTCAATGTAGTCCTTCAAGCAAAAGACTTTGTTCACTAGTGCTAATTTAATTTTTCTCTTTAGTAAAAAAAAAAAAAGAATAATAAACCACTCTTTTTGTAACTCTTGTAGTTCCTATCCGTTGACATCATTTTTTAATAGTGGTGGTCAGTGGTTTAATGTCGCCACCCATGGTGTTGTGGTTTAATCAAAGTTATTATTATAGATAACCATACCTAGAAACGAGGGAAAATAAAAATAGCAACCAAGGATTGAATTGGAGTTCATAAACTTATTTTTATTGATTCCAAGAAGGCTGTATAATAATCCATATACAGAAGAGAGGCCCTTTTTGGGTAAAACGACATGGCCTTGTAACAGTGACATGCGACTAGATGAGGTGGTGACAAATGATGTAAAGATGGGTTGAATACCAACAGAGACATGGCCTACTCCTCAAAAAACGAAACAAACTCGTTTCGATATTCATTTAGAGGGCCTATATGAGCCAGGGGCTATTTCTGTAATAAAGTATTATTTAGAATGCAAAATCCTTAAAAATAATAATGTAAGTTGATTTTGTCAAAAATGCATTAACTTCTCCTCTTAATATTTAGCACTAACTTTTCCAGTCTGGGTGGTGTAAATGACAAATCATACAATTCAATTCGCCAATTCCTTTTTGGCAATGTCCGACACACTCTCTACAAATTTAAAGTAGTTATACTTGATATCATATTCCATATCATACCAAAAGTTTATAGCAATACATCCATGTGACTGTTGTACATGGTGAAACCATAAGGAGGGTAGATAAAGCATCTCGCCGGCATTCACTGTGCACGTCACAGGAGAAGTATTACTATACATTGGATATTTCTCAAGATCGGGATTTAAGGGATCAATAGCGATCCATGGCACTTTAGCCAAAGGCGGAAGTTCTGTAACGTGATTTTCAGATCTTTCGTCAACGATCTCAAAATTTCCATTATCTGTTTCTTTGAATCTAGCAGGTGTGTAAAGTTCATATGGAATCATTGGAAGGTCAGTTGGAGGCAATAGTGTAAATGTCTTGCTACCTGAAATCACGCAGTATAAGTTTTCATAGTGATCTTTATGCATTGAAGTGATGGCTCTTTTGTCTCCCATCCAAAAGTTTACAGCATCAGGATTTTTACCAAAAGCTTCCGTTGCCCAGGGAATATCGGAAGCTGCTTCAGCGCACAATTCCTGAAATTCGTCAGTTAAATTAGAATTTTGTTTCTGAACGTAAAAGATCCCTCGATCTTGAATTTTCCCTTCTAGGATGTCCAAGAATTTGGAAAACTTCGTCTCGCGTTCCTCTGGCATAACGAACTTGTCTCCTACAACAGCATCAGCATAGCCATTTGGTGTCACGGAGACGGTCACCGTTCTGTGCCCTATTTTCTGTCGTAAGTAATCGTTATTCCATTTCTCAATCGCTGGCCAATCGTTGAATGCGTTCTGGATTATAACCGGAATATTTGGGTTTACCCAATTTCTCAAAAACTCTAATGGACTAGGGGCTTTTTGAAGCCTTGGCACCTTCGAACTCAAATAAAGTTCTCTTGCCTCGAAAGATAAAGTTTCAAGAGCTTCGAACAAGGTATTTGCAGGGGTCATTTTTCCACGAAAAGTATAAAAAGTTTTGTTAAAATCGGTAATCGCACAGCTGAAATCTTTCCAGTTTGGCCGCCATTATGGTTTTTAACAGCGCGCGGCTGCTAAGCCTCGTACCCAGGAATGCTCTTTTTTTTGCAGTACTTGTTTCCGACAGTTAACTTTGGAGCAACTTTGGGGCGGTCTTCTTTGCAATTTTGCTAAATTTTAACATGCTTTTGATTCTTTCTGAAGAGCAAAAGGAACATTTAAAGTTCCTAGTATCTTTAGAAATCGATGTCGTCCTTGAATTTGCACGGATATCTCTGGATTCTATTCTGAAAGGCTCAACGAATCCAAAGCTCTTCCAAACCGCTGCTCAAAAACTTGGGGTAGAGGCGAGTACTGTGAAGAATGGTATCAACGGCTTGCAGCATGTTTTCACGGAAAGTTCTCGCTTAATGATTGGTGAAATAGACTTTCAAGATTCCATTATGACCCTGGGTTTTTCAGAAGAAGTGATCGGAGCGTTGTTGAAGATGTACTTGGCAAACCGCAAGGAGATAAGGAACATTCTCGGGGAAATGAGTTTCGGAATTCCCCACTATCATGATCTGGAGTGGAGATTTGATGTAGAGTTGGCCAGCCGATCTCTTCAACATCAAACGAATCCTGTTGTGATAATGAGACTGCATACAAAGGAAGGAGAGAAGGAGTCTGCTGATATTCTACAGACCGACCCTGTCAATTTAATTCACCTTACTTCAGAGTTGGAAAATGCAATGCAGGAAATGAAGACTGCCCACTGCAGAAGAATTGTCAGGAATATAAAGTAAACAGACACAAGTGTAAATACATGCAAGCTTTTGACTTTGTGACGATGATAATGATGATGATGATGATGACAATGATGATGATGATGATGTTGATGGTGCCAAGGATGTTGATGATAATGATGATAGTGATGAAGTAGCTGATAATGTTGATGACAAAATGACAAAGGTGGTGAGGATGGTGATGTACCACATTCTCGGAACAAAGCCTTTCAGGAGCAGTGAAATAGCAGTTGAACAAAGGAAAAATTTTGTCAGTGGAAAGAAAGAGGGGATACCCACGAGAGGAGTAATTTTTTTTATCATCATGTACCTTGCACAGCCTATTATTGCCCCCCCTTAAGAAACACTTTGAACAGCTGAATAACAGTGATGTCGATACTGTTGATAACCATAATTATTATTGTTAGGCTTCGTTTGTAATGATGTTGATACTCCTTTTAACTTCAAGTTAAGATGATAATGAAATTTCTTTAGTTATCTTTTTTCTGAAATAGTTAAAACCACCTTGTACAGCTAGGTAAACAGCACCATACAAAAAACTGTGATCCAACAATGGAAACCTATCCATGTACAGCTGGCATTTAATTCATGTACCGGACACAGATGGCGTAAAAGAAAAGAACAAAACCATGAAACAATACCAAGAAGATTTTTCCCTGAAGAGAAATCAAAGAGGTCTTTTGTTTTATGTCATCTGTGTCCGGTAGACAAAGTTTTGATCCTAAAACTTGGCAGTAAAATATAAATGATATATTAACCCTTTAAGTTCCAATGGTGACCAACATCAATTTTCTCCTAACAATATCCATACAATGTCAAGAGATAAGGTTATCGGAATTGATAAAATGATCACCAAAGTGAAATTGCATTGATCTTTTATAAATTCTCTCAACACATTCTTTAAAGAAATATATGGAGGTTAGTTTGGAGAATTTGTATGTGGATATTGGGGCTTAAAGGGTTGACCTTAAATTTCATACTTAAAAAATATTTTATGTACATAGGTTTTCCTTTCTATCAAGAATAATGCTGAAACTTAGCAAACCACTGTTCTTTATTCATCCTGCGTAAAGAAACATTACTGATAGTTAAGCACAAGATAGGGGCACAGACCAAAGCAAAATAATTTCTCTTATCTTGCTTCACATTTGCCTGGTGCTTGATCACATCCTACGCTTAGAACTTGGCTGAATACTATTTTTGTACACAGGCTATGGGAATATTTATTGATACTATGATTAGATTTGGGGGCAAGAAATTTGTCTTTGTACCCTGAAAAGTGATTAGCCTGTAATCACTTTTCAATTTCTGGATTATACTATTACCATTGTTAATTGTCTTAC